GGCCTCCTAGAGAAGCGGACAGGTGGGGCGCAAGGTCCTCGTTCCCTCGGAGACCTGCGAGATGGACCGCGCGCCCCAGCAAGGCGCCGCGGGGTAGTCGCCCAGTTCTGGGGCGCTCCTGCTGGCGCTGGGGTCAGAGAAGAAGCTACAACTTAAGGAGATCACGGGGCCAGAGGTGAGGTTCTGGATCTCCACCCGCCCCAGCCTGGCTGCTGGCCCCATGACGAGGACCCCAGCCGCCACTAGGGGAGGAGGCCAGGGGTCCAGTGGCTGCCCGCTAGGCCTCTGCTTGGGGCCCTTCATGCCACGAAGGGCACCTGGAGATGCTTCACCTTGGAGAGCACCCCTGTCCACTCCTGAGGTTGTGGGTGGTGGTGTCAGAACAAGGTTCCTGTAGGAAATCAATACTGGACCTGGGTGGACAGGAGTGGCTCAGGAGGCTTCCTGCTGTGGGCAGGGGGTGGGATGGACAAAAGAAAGGACATACACAGGGCCAGTGGGGTCAGGCAGACTTTCTCCTTGACCCTCTGGTCTGCAGCCTGCTGGGCACCATGACACCCATTTTAAAGATAGGAAACAGGTCTTACATTTCAGGACAAGGATCTAGACCCAAGCAGAGCTTCCAGAATCCCTCCTAATTCGGGACAGTGGGGAGCCTACAGCACCTCGTGGGGCAGGAGAGCAGAAGCGCAGGGCTGTGACTGCAGCCAGGATGTCCCCTGAGCCGAGGGCTGGGGCCCTGTGGATGTCCTCCTTGCCAGCCCCAGGCTGAGTGAGGAGCTTAGGCAGAAAGTCTCAGCACCACTGGCACCTGCAGACAGCGGCGTTGCCTGGGCTCTTGTGAAACAGACAGAGCAAACCCTGAGAGCTGTTGCCCCATGCATTTGATGGGTGTAAGGCACCCCAGTGTAAACCACAAGGCCTAAGATCAGGCTGGGGTGCCCTGGAGGTCAGCCTGGCCTAGGGACATTTTCAAAGAGGGAGGCAGGCTATTACAAACTCAAGTCCATTCCACAGCCTCCCCCTTCATCACAGGGCGGGTTGCAGCATTTCCCTGACAAGGGGAACTGAGGTTCAGGGACACTAACAGAAGAGCTGAGACTCGCCCTTAGCTCTCTACTCACTCAAAAATCCCCCCTGCTGTCCCCCTGTCATCGGGTCAGTTTAAAGGCCGAGTGTGGGGCTGGCCAGGGGCAGTAGCTTCAGATGCAGGTCCCATCCTGAGGTGTTCTCCCACCCACACCCTGGCGGGGAAGGCTGACCCAGGGCAGATTTCAGCATCCAGCAGGAACCTGTCTGGAGGAGGCCTCTCCCACTGGGTACCTGCTATTCCAAGTCCAGAGTGTGATGGCGTCTTTCAGTTGGCTGCACAGGGTTGATCTCCAAACCGCGCTGGCTCTGAGCCATCTCCTGGTGCGGTGTGGAGATGCCAGGCAAGGACTGTGACCTTTCCCTATGCCTCAGCTTCCTCTTATTTATTTATTTATTTATCTTTTTTTGAGATGGAGTCTTGCTCTGTTGCCCAGGCTGGAGTGCAGTGACGTGATCTCGGCTCACTGCAACCTCTGCCTTTCAGGTTCAAGAAATTCTCCTGCCTCAGTTTCTCGAGTAGCTGGGACTACAAGCGTGTGCAATCATGCCTGGCTAATTTTTTTGTATTTTTAGTAGAGACGGGATTTCACTGTATTAGTCAGGATGGTCTCCTGACCTTGCGATCCACCCACCTTGGCCTCCCGAAGTGCTGCGATTACAGGTGTGAGCCACTATGCCCAGCCGCTTTCTCTCCTTTAAAACGGGGGGATGGCCGTGCCTCCGTCAGAGGACTGTTGTGGGATTATAAGAGCCCATTTGTGAAAGTGCATGGCAGGGGTGGCAGTTATGATCGCCGATGAAAATTCCAGGACGGGAGAAGAATATGCGTGTTATAGTCTCTCTGTTATAGATGCAGACATCTCCTGCAATGCAGATGAACCTGCATGTTGAACCACAGTGAGTTCATGTTTTGGTTTATTCCACACTGGTAGCATATGCAAGAAGGGGCTCAAACCCAAGACTTCCCCAGAACCTCTCTGCCCTTCTGTCCACCTCTCCGCCCTTCTGTCCACCTCTCCCATCCCCCTCT